CTTCCTCAAGTTTTGTATATTGACTTATCTATATGTTTTCAATGAATTTCAACTATACCCATTGAAAAAGTTCTTTTTTTGCTTAGATTTTTAGAATATTGTATTTTTTTTTTTGTATTTCATCACCTTATTTGCTACCTCATCCATGAAATTTCCTTTCCATCTTGCATCTAATGTTGCTAATCAGCTTAAAAATATGGAAGGATATTTTTGCATGTGATTCTTTGAGAGAAAGAACCTTATTTATTGGATTTTTTCAATTTTTATATGTGTTTGGCTAATTTTGGTAAGTCTATGACAAATGGCTAGAGGTTGATAAGTTGACACTTATTTGGGACATTTGTGTAAGTCTCAAATGCTTGATTTTTAAGTGTCTTTTACCATTTCAAGAATTGGGTCAAACAAAGTACCTTATCCAACTAATCTACAACTGTTTTCTTTTCTTTTTGAGTAATAATAAGGAATTTTTACCTCCTATAGCAAAGATTAACACCTTATTTATGTTAGATAAATACCATTTAAAAAAAATATATTGTATAGATACCATTTAAGGTTTATAGCAAAATATTTAATTTTGGTTACCTCCTAGCCCTAAGCCACTAAATACGCTAATCAGTTACACTATTTTCTTTCTCTCTCTACTTTGATACATCCTATTGTAAAACATAACCCTTTATCTTAATACCCTCCAGAATTTCTGCGAATCAGTTCTGCCATTCAAACCCCATTGAAACAAGGATGAGTTTGGAGAAGAGGTGAGGACGAAATATAGAAGCAACAACACTGGTCATGGCAGATAAGGAATGTCCTAAGTACATACAACAAGTGATTTGAAGCTCCTCCAAAATGGCAAGTAAATCGTAGGCATAACCTTCAAGGGAAGAGTGTCGATCAAAATCGAAGTAATCAGGATTGGTCGGTCCAGAACCCATGTTGTCGAAAGTACAACTCGATATTCACCGACGAGGTAAGGTACAAGGTGTTTCCAGACAGATTGGTCAGTGCCATCGAAATCAAAGCAACGGCCATGGAAATCAAGCCCTAGGAGTGGAAAGGCCTCATCAAAATCGACGGCGTTCCGATCAAGTAGTCCAGCCTGAAATCCTCCGTTACAAAGCTTTCGAACCAATTCTCCTCTTAGGCCGCCACAGATTCGCCGGAGTGGCTTCATGTATTTCATTGTATTCATTGTCTTTTTTTTCATTGTAATTCAATGTATCTTGCTGTATTCCGTGTATTTCATTGTATTCACTGTCTTTTTTTCATTGTATTTCAATGTATCCCGTTGTATTCTATGTATTCATATGTTTTTTCAATTAATATAATCTATGTTTTCAGATGTATTATATAATTTCTCTGAAGATTGCTATGTTTTTGGGGGTTTTTCCAGTTGAGAAAATTTTTTATAACCGGAAATACAAATTTTGTGTGTTATAATTGAGTTTGTTGAGTTATATTAGTAGTCTATTATGTTAATTGATACACTTTCCGTTTTAAAACAATGTAATCTCCTGTTTCACGCCGTGAATACAGTCGAATACAGTAATTTGTCCAGCTGTAATCCCATGTTTAACGCCATGAATACGGTCGAATACACTCGGATACAACAACTGATTAGCTGGACTTCCCTGATTCACGCATATTTTTGCTACTGTATTCATGAATACAATAGTTTAAATACATCAAATACATCATATAGCCACATAAAAGGTATCTATAACCCGTAATATAGCAAATGGTATCTATAGATGGCTATTACTACTAAAGGAATTTTTACCTCCTATAGCAAAGGTTAACACCTTATTTATGTTAAATAAGTACCATTTAAAAAAATTATATTCTATAGATACCATTTAAGGTTTATAGCAAAATATTTAATTTTGGTTACCTCCTAGCCCTAAGCCACTAAATACGCTAATCAGTTACACTATTTTCTTTCTCTCTCTACTTTGATACATCCCATTGTAAAACATAACCCTTTATCTTAATACCCTCCAGAATTTCTGCGGATCAATTCTGCCATTCAAACCCCATTGAAACAAGGATGAGTTTGGAGAAGAGGTGAGAACGAAATATGGAAGCAACAACACCGGTCATGGCAGATAAGGAATGTCCTAAGTACATACAACAAGTGATTTGAAGCTCCTCCAAAATGGCAAGTAAATCGTAGGCATAACCTTCAAGGGAAGAGTATCGATCAAAATCGAAGTAATCAGGATTGGTCGGTCCAGAACCCATGTTGTCGTAAAGTATAACTCGATATTCACCGACGAGGTAAGGTACAAGGTGTTTCCAGACAGATTGGTCAGTGCCATCGAAATCAAAGCAACGGCCATGGAAATCAAGCCCTAGGAGTGGAAAGGCCTCATCAAAATCGACGGTGTTCCGATCGATCGAGTAGTCCAGCCTGAAATCCTCCGTTACAAAGCTTTCGAACCAATTCTCCTCTTAGGCCGCCACAGATTCGCCGGTGTGGCTTCATGTATTTCATTGTATTCATTATCTTTTTTTTCATTGTAATTCAATGTATCTCGCTGTATTCCGTGTATTTCATTGTATTCACTGTCTTTTATGTCAATGTATCCCGTTGTATTCTATGTATTCATATGTTTTTTCAATTAATATAATTTATATATTCAGATGTATTATATTATTTCTCTGAAGATTGCTATGTTTTGGGGGGATTTTCCAGTTGAGAAAATTTTTATAACCGGAAATACAAATTTTGTGTGTTATTAATTGAGTTTGTTGAGTTATATTAGTAGTCTATTATGTTAATTAATACACTTTTCGTTTTAAAACAGTGTAATCCCCTGTTTCACGTCGTGAATACAGTCGAACACAGTAATTTGTCCAGCTGTAATCCCATGTTTCACGCCATGAATACAGTCGAATACACTAGAATACAATAACTGATTAGCTGGACTTCCCTGATTCACGCATATTTTTGCTACTGTATTTATGAATACAATAGCTTAAATACATCAAATACATCATATAGCCACAGAAAAGGTATCTATAACTCGTAATATAGTAAATGGTATCTATAGATGGCTAATTACTACTAAAAGATAGTGCTTTACAAAAATTTCTCTAATAATAAGTGAACTTTGGGTCCTCGAAACGAGGGACAAAAGCATGAGTGCTAAAGTCCAAGCCTGTACAAATAATTATGTATCATGCAGATAATGATAGATTAAATATTTTAATGCAAGTTGAAACTTCAATTTAGACGGTACTTATCTGGTGCTATACAGGGGCGGACCCACATTGATTTAAGCGGATTCAGTTGAACCCGTTTTAAAAAAAATTAATTATTTATATGTGAAAAATATTTTCTTAAACAATACAATATCGGATAAGTACATTAAGTTGAACCTGCTTGGCAGAAACAATAGTTGGTCGAGTTAGTTCGAGCGGGTTTAGTTAGTAGGTGAGGTCTGGACTTCGAATTTAGACGTTTAGCCCCGCACTATTTTTTTTTCTTAATTATTGTTTAATTTAGCTAATTTTCATAGTTTCGAATTTGATGCTATTAAAATTATAACTCTATTTCAGTTTATATTTTTATTCTATTGTTATTATTTTTTCATAAATTATTTATTATAATGAATAGTTCAGCGCTCGTTAATCTGTTAGATTTAATCAATAAATAGAGTTGGTTGTTTTGGTATAGATTGAATTGATTTTGTAACGTATAATTCAGAAAAAAAAGCTCTATAAATTGTCAAATTTGAAAAAGTAAATAGATATGTTGTTCACTTTTATTATTTTCATTTTTTAAGAGCTCAACAGAACAAAAAGGTCATGAAGCAAAATAAAGAGCAGAGGGAAAGACTCTATTGTTATGCCTTTGTTGCTTTTACTGTCAAATAATGTCGATGAATTTACCTTCCGCCTGAACCCGCTTGCACAAAATTTTGGGTACGCTACTAGTGCTATATAATAACAGACGACGCAGAGATTTGCTATTTATACGTTCCAAATAGGGATAAACTGATCGGTTTGACTTATTTTGAGTTTCAGTTCGAATTATTCCTCTTTTTATTTATATAAACAATATGATATACTATAGTATGTATTCTTTTTCTCAACACTGAATACGGATATATTGCTTCTTCTTTTTTGGCCCTATCAAAGACACTGCAACCTATCGTGTGATACATAGATCTTTTTCTTTCATTGATTTAATCTATTATATATATGGAAAACAATCCACATTCAAGTGGATAAGAGCAACCCAAAAAAAATTCAGTTAGCAGCGCCCTAGTGTACTCTCATTGTCATTTCTTCTTCGTCAGGGTCGATCCAGAATTTAAATTTAATGGGTTCAATTTTCAAGATTCTCAGCATTGAATTCATTATACTATAGAAATTATGAGTTTAATTAAACATGTAGCCTAAAGGCTACATCCGACCCTGTTCGAAATCTTTGCCGACGCAATATATATTCTACTTTAATTTACATGCATGAGGGCTGGCTAATTAGACAACAGAAAGTTTCGACAGTTTGACTTATAAATATGAAGAGCAAAGTTGCTAAAATCAGTTGCAATATACAGACAAAATCTTAAGCAAGCAAAGGTATCTTCATTATCATTCTTTGTCGTCTCAAGAGGAAATATAGTCTTATATTGCCAACAAGTGGTAAAATCTGAATGTCATTAAGTAATCACATCTAAAAGAAAAGACTTTTTCGCGCGTAAACCATTGCTTGTTCCTTAATTTGCTGGAATGGGAAGTATAGATAGAAAGGCAGAAAAGGAGGCGTCGGCTCTGAAATGATGGAAGATTGAATCATTCCTTCATTCTATTCCGGCTATTCCTTTCCTGTCTGTATGTTGTTTATCTTCATAGTAGTGACAGTTCATCACTAAGGTCTCTCTTTCTAGCATGTTATACACGTTCCTCTCTCCTTTTCTGAATTTCTTTGATTAATAGTACATGATAACTAGTTGTCTAATAACACTTGTTTGCAATAAAATTAAACGTTACTAAAGTAGAAAACAATCTTCTTTTCTATATTTATTTCGGTGAAAAAGCTCCATGTTGTACTTTGCTTCAGTAGATCTTTGAACTAAAAATCTAGTAGTGACATTCATAACTTGAACAAGAAAAGAGGAGGAAACAAAAACTTAGATAATAAGACAACCTTCTTCCATTGCAAAATCATCTGTTGGTGCACAACCAGTCTTTTTCATTTTCATATGAAGGTTTCTAAGTAATGAGTGAATAACCTCAGTTTCATAATGAGATTCATCACCAACTAAAAATACATGAACTCTGTTCCCAACTTCTATCCAGCTACAACCTGGTTGCTTCTTCAATCCTATGTCCTTCATTTGTGTCCTCAGCTTTGCAGCTTCTTTCCACTTTCCATTCGAAGCAGACAATTTCAATAACGACAAATAGGTTCCAGAACTTTTTGTGTCAATCCCTAACAGTTTCATTGCGGCCAATTTTCCTGTTTCTGAATCTCCATGAACATTACACCCCGCAAGAAGTGCTCCCCAAACGAATGCTGATTCTGTACTTGGAAGCCGTTCAATAACTTCCAAGGCCTCTTTAAGTCGTCCTGCTCGACCGCAGAGATCTACAAGGCATGTATAATGGTCTTCTCTCAACTTCATGGAATCGTCTCTAGAGAGCTCATCAAAGTATTTTAACCCTTCCTCCACCAAACCTGAGTGGCTGCAGGCAGCAAGCAATCCGACGTAGGTCACATCATTTGGTTTGAATCCCATTTGCAGCATTTCATTGAACAAATTGATTGCCTCTCTTCCACATCCATGGTGAGAATAAGCTGCAATCATGACGTTCCAAGATATAAGATCTCTCTGGCCTCTCAAGTCATCATCAAATATTTTTCTTGCAGTTGCTACATCTCCACATTTCGAATACATGTTTATAAGTGCTGATATGACCATTTCGTTCTCCTGATAAATAGTTTTGCTAATTACTTGGTGAATTTGCATTCCTTCACTAAGACCGGCTAAGTCACTGCAAGCACCCAAAACACTCACAAAAGTCCCTTCATTTGGTTTCACTTCACCATCCATTTGCATGTCACAGAAATTTCTTAGCGCTTCTTCACTTTTCCCCTCTAGCACATACCCGTTAATCATCGTTGTCCAAGAAACCACATCTCTTTGCCTCATTTTATCAAACAATATTCTAGCTCCAGTTAGTTCCCCGTTTAGAATGAAGCCCATGATAATTGTATTCCACGAAGACACGGTCTTTTCTGGCATCATCTCAAACAATTCAAACGCTTCATTAAGTCTCGAGTTCTGCATATATCCAGTAATCATTGCATTCCAAGAAACCACATTCCGCTCAGGCATCCAATCAAAAAGTACTCTAGCCTCGTCGACTTTCCCATTTCTCGACAACCCTGATATCATTGTAGTCCAAGACACCACATTCTTCTCAGGCATCTGATCAAAAAGCAATTTTGCCTCATGCATTTGCCCATGCCGAGCCAATCCTGCTATAACCATGTTCCAAGAAACCACATTCCTCTCCTCCATTTTCCAAAACAACTCTAATCCCTTATCAAGCCCACCATTTCTCGCATACCCATCAATCATACTATTCCAAGAAACAATATTCTTCTCGGGCATTTCGTTGAAAAGCAACTCAGCCTCAAGAATTCTATTCGTCCTCGCATACGCAGCCAGCATAGCTGTCCAAGTAACAACATCTCTCTTTGCATCAGTCCTATCAAACAACTCCCTCGCTTGATCAATCTTCCCACATCTTATATAACCCGAAATCATCGCTGTCCATGATACCACATCTGGTTCAGGCATTTTATCAAACAGCTTCTTTGCTTCATCAATCTGTCCCTCTTTGCTTAGCTTGGAAATAATCCTATTTGACCTAACGACATCTTGGTTACATGTGTAATCTACTCTGGGAAGTAAAGAATAATTCTTTAGTTGAAAAGGAAGTTCAGTTTGAAGCTTAATAGCTGACTTGCAGAAATTAAAAAAATGTTTGAGCTTTACTGGAGCTACAAACTGTTTCAGCATCTCCAAGCCTAGGGATATTGGAGATTATAAGATCAATTGGCTAATGAAAAATATATCTAGCTTATGAGTGAGCTCGTATTATAACACTTGCATGAAATCCATGATTCGTAGTGTAGTATTTGGTCTACCTGTTTGATACTTGCATAGAATTCAGGGTACAATACACTATCTGGCTGTCTTTTTTGCGCCTGGAAAAAATACTTTTAAAATTCTTGGTCTAAAACAAACAATAACAATTCTCTAGCTATAAATCATCATTTTTTCATAAATCGTCACACAAATCGTCATAAAAATTTCTCTTAGCTATAAATCATCATATTTTAAAGGTAATTGGTTACTAAATATTGAAGGTTATATTCTTTTTCGGACGGATTAAAAAAATAAAGGTGTCACTTCATTTGGACAAAAAGGCTATATGCCTTAGTTATTATAATTTTGTGGGATAAAATGTGGGAAAATAAATGTGAGAATTAGTAATATACGAATTAAAATAACTAAAATACCTCAAATAACCCTCATGTACTAAAACATTTTCTTAAAAGTAGACAAAACATATATTTCATTTCCAGCATTACAATCGGGGTCGTTTGGTTGGAATTAGCGCTGTCAATGGTTCGGTTCAGCCGGTTATTCTATAAATTTGTATCATAACAAATTTTCAGTTATTCCATTTTGTATAACCTAACTTATACTTTTCGAAGCTGTCTCAATCTTCTCGGTTTCTTTTCGGTATCGGTACGTTTTGTTAATTTTTCGATATTTTTAAAAAAATATCATGTAAGAGTCGCTAGTCGAAGTTATAATGCGATAATGTGTACTTGCCTAGGACTTTGGCAAAATTCTCTAGACATTTCGACTATTTTAAAAGTGATGATCAAAAGAACATGAAAGATGTCCAGAATAGAGATTCATCTTACTATTATAGTACAACAACAACAACAACAACAACAATAACAACAACAAGCCTAGTAATTTTCCACAAGTGGGATTTGGAAGGGTAAGATGTACGCAGCCTTACCCCTACCCTGGAAGGGCAGAGAGACGGTTTTTGATAGACCCTCGGAAAGCGTAAAACAAATTAAGCAAAGACGAGAAATATAAATCATACGAGTGAAAAGATACTAATCTATTTGGGACTCAAGAATAGAGCTTATTAAAAGATTAGTATTCAACAAGAGAAATTGAAATTATACGAGAGGAAAGATATCCAATACCTTGTGGCTTGCTACTGAAGATCGTTGGAATACTTAGTGGCTTGCAACTCAACATGTTAGAACTAAAATAGTTTTGATATGAGTAGTAGAATAAGTTTAGAAGTTGGGATTTCGGATATTAATTATTTGGTCACTTGTAGCCATTTTCATAATCCTAAGACCCAAGAAAAAAACTTAATGCTTAGTTTTAAACTTAGTATATAAAATATATATTTCATATAAATTTATTCCGTACGATACGGTATTTTTTCAGTTTATTTTTGTAAAATTAGAAACTTACCCTATTATTCGGTACGGTTGTAAGTTTATATAAAAGCCTATGACTTTTTTATTAAAATAAATCTAATAATTGGTTTGGTATGATTCGGTTGATTTAGTCGGTTTTTAAAGATCCATTGATGGTTGAAAAAATAATATCAACATAAACTCCTCCATAAGATGGAAATATAATATCAACATAAACTCCTGCATAAGATAATATCACGCATAATCCTATGTAGCATATGGTTGACGGTATTAAATGATACCCTCTTTAACTTATGAGCGAATCTATATATTAGTTTATACAACATAGAATGTGAAATAGAAATACATATTAGCAATACATAGAATAAAGTAATAAAAAACAAAAATATCCTTAATGTAAGTAATTCCCTCATAACAATTCCTTCATAATGTAAGTAATTCCCTCATAACAATTCCTTCATAAAAATTCAAATACAACATCTGAATTTTGAATGAAGCACCAATACTTGGTTTAAGATCCGATTTCTCATTCAGAAAAGCGCTATCAAGCAGGGAAAAATCAATAAACTACACTCACAAGATTGCAGTCAAGTTAGAAAGTATCTCGACATAAAGTGCCTTACAACGTTGTAAAGATAATGAGAACTCGACCTTGAAAAGAATTTTTAAGGCAAAAGAATTGTGTACTCAACTCTCTTCGGATCGCTGTGAAAGTATACACACAACATTATGTACAAAAATTAACAATCTACTATCCTACAACCACTAACTTTTCCTAAGGTTACACTCTTCCAAAAGAATGTCTTCTAACAAGTAAGCTAAGTAACTATATGCACTTCGTTTACAGTCATTTCTACAGTGAAATAAACATATAAGCTGCGTACATGATGACGGGGCTTCAACAAGTTCTGTGCGCATACCGCAATTTTTACATACCCTAAACTTGTGATTTCTCAGGTTGCCGAGAAACTTCCTTATCAGCAAAATGGAGCAGCCTTCGGAGCCTTAATACCGTGTCACAATGAAAAGGCAAAGCAGATCTTCTCTCCAAGTATGCCGGACTTACACTCATCCATGATAAAGCATGGAGTTCTGCAGCTATGTTCTCAAGAATCAAGTGAGTTGCTATTTCAACGTTCCTTGTTTCCGAGCCTGTACCCCTTCCCCCAACCTTACCAACACCCTTCAAAAACTTTTCTTGGATGATGTTGCTGCCACCATAGTAATCAACGAGGTTGACAGATAGAACTGAGGGCCATTCTTCTTTTGAGATGCTCCTCGCATCTCTCCTCATTGTAGGTACTGCTTTTGAAACCACAAAACCTGTTGAAAGAGGGATAGCACAGCCCTTGCTGGGAGAAGATGGGCGAGTGGTGGTGATTCAGCAGTTAGGCAAGTGTGAAGCTGAAGACTGACAGGAGGTAGGAACCGCATACTGGGTGATGGGATTAGAATATAGGAGGTGGATGTAGAACCGAGGGACTTCACTGGTGTATAACCTTCAAGATAACCTGGCTGACTCAGAATGCCACTACTTTGACTCGTCCCTGCAAAATTTACTTGTTCATATACAACCATACACAAGTATGAAACAGAAATAACTAGGCATAAAAATGTGAACTGATGATAAATCCAGAGAAAATATTTCTCAAAGAATATTCTCTTCCATATGGTAAACACCAACCCCCCCCCCCCCCCCCCCCAACACACACAAAAAAAAAACTGAAACACATAAGCCCAGCGCGTACTGAATCCCACTTTACTCCCTTGGTACTCATATCTCAACTACAATTCCTCAGCATGAGGCTATTCCTCCCTAGAGTTTCTCAAAGAATAATTTCACACCTCCAACTAGAGAAGCAATTCCCTTGGAGTGTTATCTAAAAAGAACATTATGCTTACAAGTGTCCTAGTTCACTTTATCTCTGATTGGTTAAGTTTTCAGAAATAACATCTTCTTTACAGTTCATTGGTAGATAGTATAAGAGATGCCAGAAGAAAGGCAAGTAGAGTCAACTCAATCAGAGAAAAAGGGAATCAAAAAAACAAAAAGAAGGGAAAAGACGACACCTACCAGGACTCATTAAATCTGCTGGCAACATAAGCTGTAAGGAATGATCAATTGAAACAGAGACAAAACTAATGCTTTGCACCCATTGAAGTAAACCCCTCGAGTTGTCCACCATACCCTGTCCACCAATTAACTGCTTCCTTGTGGATGGTTGCCCCAAGCCACCTTTCACGAAAGAGGAAGCCTTTGAGTGAGGACTGTACAATGGACTAGGGGAGGAAGGAAGTGCTTTTTCCTGAATCAGACCTATTTCCTGTTGCTGCAAGGATGTCCCATTACTACTTGCCGACATTCCATCAGGCACAGATCGTCTTAGCTGCAGAGACCATTTCTTCACCTCAGATCCCCCAACTGCATACAGGGCTTTCTGCCATTCTGCGTCCAGAAAATTGCATCAATAAGATTAGCAACTTCAGCAACACTACAGATGAATGGTAACCCAAGCAGAAACTTCATTCTAGTCCCTCAAAATAAAACCAACAAAAGCTGCACTCTTTCAAGACGTTCAAAGTGTAATATAACCTTATCCCACACCAAGAATAACAATGAGATCAGCTGAAAATGTGTTGGAATTAAAGGTGGAGCCAGCAAGTCAATGTCATCAAAATTCAAAACCATTGTTTTGCATTTTCAATAAAAGTAAACAATAAGCACAAAATATTGATAGCGAATGTTTACCCTGGCATTCAAGCTCAAAGAAGCTTCCAATACGTGCAATGACAAAATCCCTAGGCTTGGCAATGGCAGCCTCAGGAAGACATACCTGAAGTATCTGGCATCCTTGTCGCAGAATTTGCACAAACAAAGATTGCAGGCCTTTCATATCCTGCCTACTACTTATTCCTCCAAATGGATATATATAATTATCAAGCAACTCTCCCCTGGAATCTGTCCATATACACACCAGCCAGCGCCAATCCTCAGTCCATCCATAACAACAATGCAGGCTTGCAAGTGACTTTTGATGTGCAGATCCAAAGCCATCTGGTTCAGATGTTTCAGACTGAATGTTTGTTCCAGTGTCTCCGCCACCTGAAGAAGCTAAACTCTGCATAAAATTTCCACTTGTACCATCATCTAACAAAAGCTTTGAAGATTCAGCCATTGGATTACAAGACATAGGAAATGAAAGTCCACGATCCAATGAACCTGGTTCAGCTAGAATGTAAAGGGGCTCAAACAAATAACGAACTTCATCTTGAAAAGAAAAATCCTCCATTCTGTTTGGATCACATCCGAGACCTCCCCCTCTTGATGTTTGCCAGTTGTCCAACTACCAGACCTTAGGCTAGCATCAAGTTCAGCCTCTCTCTGAAGGGAAGTTCCTGGCTTCGAGGACCAACACAGTCCTTCCACATCACTGGAACTGGGGAAGTCATTTGCATCAGGACCAGATGAGATCTACCAGACATGGACGATGACTGAACCATGTCACTGGAGGACCCTCGAGATATCCTGCGGGCTTTGTTATAAGCTGTGAAAGCAATTTCCTTTAGGATGACAAGCTCATTGACAGCAGGACTTGTAATCCTAAAAATTGCATCAACAGTGACAATCTGCAGTACCAACTTAGGAATACAAAACCCTGAAAGTGTTGAAACATTTGAGAGTGACTCATCCACTGCTGCTGAGTAACTTAAGGCCCTTCCGACTTGATTCTGCAGTGTAGATCGCCTCTCTTTGTCTGAAGAAAGAATTACTGATCCAGCAGCAATAGAAGATTCAATCACCGTCTGTAGGACCGCAAGAGGCTCAGCGAAAGGGCAAACCACGTATATCACCTGATTTAACATTCAAATATATAATCAGATATCAGCTTCTGGTGAAGTACTTTGTCCATATACTTTATCG